ATCGTCACCCGGTACTCCTCCGGGGCGTCGAGGCGTCGATCCGCTCGTCTACGCGCGCGTCCCCGCCGACCACGCTCTACCACCCGTTACCGGGCCGCTTCCGGTGTCGTTGGTTGGTTCAAGACCCTCGGTACGCCGATCCGGGGTCATCCGCCGAACATCGCGAACACCCCTCCGCCGGGTGTGGGGTGTTTATGCGACAGTGCGCAACAAAAAGTTGACCACCTGCGGGTATGTCCGGAGTAGCTCGCGCCGCTCCACGTCAACCGCCATGGTGTTTCCATTGAGGCGGGACTGGAGCAAGGCGTGAGCCTGCCATGTCAGGTAGAATTGGAAGCACCACACGGCGGCTCCTTCGGTAATCCCGTTGTGGTCGCACGCTATCTTGAGGCGTGCGAGGAATCCCAATACCGCAATCGGATCTTGACCGCTGAACGTGTGGGACCTCATCTGCACGTCCAGTTTTTTTCCGGGAACGGTTAATGTGCCGCGCTACTGTAGAGTCATAGCGTGAGCTACGCCGTTCCAGGCGGTAGGTCTTGTAGTTGACGGCCTCGGTAAGCAGGTCATTGAGAGGCCTGATTACCGTGGGCCGTCGGTCGTCGCCCTTCGGGGCAGCCCGGCGGTGTCTGCTCGCGCGGCGACGTTCCTCATCCGACTCTGTGTGGTAGTCTTCCGAGTCGGACGGGTCGTGCCGGTGACGGTCTCGGCTTCTATCGCAGCGTGCCCTGTGGCCCCGCCTGCAAGAGTCTTCCGAACCGGGTGGGTCATCATAGGAGGGGTATCCTCCCTCTCCGGCATCGCGGTATCGCCCGTGGCGTGCCTCGCGGTTATCGCGGTATCGCCAGCGGCGTTCCTCGCGGTCTTCATCCGTCCTGCGACAGGGGTCTTCTGCGTCGGAATACCGGGTGTATTCCGCTTCAGTCCTGTGCGTGCCGGGTGCACGTCTTCTGCTCAACCGGTACGGGTCCCGATTCTCTGTCTCGGGGAGCCCCAGGCGGTTGTCTGTCCCGCAGGGGTCGCCCGTACCGGCGAGTATGGGGAGGATATTTTCTGTGGTCCTCCCTGGAGCAGCGTGAACAGTTGGGAGATAGATGGCTCTGCCCTCCGGGTGAGGGTCCATTCTATCAATCGGGTACGGCGCCGATCGGATCAGCAATATTAAAGCTTGAGCCCGGAACGGTTTCACGGCGCGGTGCCGGCGGCGGTACCGCGCCTCCCGTTTCGGTAAATGTCATGGCCAGACGGGTGGCCACGGCGGAGCTAATAGCTCCCTTTAGAGCCAGTGCGGTCGGAGATTCGTCGTCCTCCGCGGCGAGCGCTGGCACCACCCCGTCGCGTACGAGGGGGGCGATCTTCTTGTCCAGCAGGGCGCGGAGCGCGGTGTCCGCATGCTCCGCCACCAGTCTTGGTGCCGTTCGGTCGGTGCAAACCTGAACGACCTGAGGTAATTCCTCAGCGAGGAAATCATCCATCCAGGTTTGTAGTCGCGAGAGTAACGGTCGTACAGTACTTGTACGCGGTTCCCCCCACCAGCCGGAAACCCGGCGGTGGTGTCCGAAACGGAAGGGGTCTTCTGGCCCCTGTTAGACGGTGGGCGTAGCAGGGCTTCCGGGTTGTCGATCCGGGGGCCCTGTGCGCCTCTGCCACTGCGGGTACTTGCACGCCTGGAGGCGGTATCCGCTCCGGCGGAATCCGCACGGTTCATCGTCGATGATCACTGGCGATCGACGGGGCCGCGTCCGTGTCGATGAATATCACCGGTGATATTCGACCTCTTTCAATCCGATCGGTAATTGCTCGCGCTGGCGATCCAGTGCGGGCTCAACCTCTGTAGTTATACCCTCCGCAAGAGTACCATAATGTGGTATAGCTACCTTCGTCCCGACTACTCGGAAACGAGGGGGGTTTGAGGTAAGAGAGCGCGCGCCGCTGGGTAACCCACGCGCGAACGCAGACCGTACGGATGGACTCGAGAAGAGGGAAGGCTCACATGGCCAGTGACGCGCAGCCAGTGGGTGGTGTTAGATCTGAACGACCGATCACGGTTTAGAAGCCTGGACTAAAAGGGAAACCGGAACGGGATAGCGATTAGCCGTCAAAGGTAGGGAGGCGAGTCTGCCTCCAGTTTACTGGGACGGGGCAGGTGCCCCCGGTCTTAACCCCTAAGTGGGACGCCAGGACACCTGTCCCGCTACAGTAGCTGTTGCTTACTGTATACCACTTACTGTACTAAATTGGCTAATTTGTGCCATTAACTACTAATTACTAATTACTTACCATTCGGATCCTACACGTGTAGCCGGTGGGGTACTACTGTACACCGCACCGGCCGTCTGCTGTAAATATAACTCCTTACAGTACTTCTCGCGCTTACAGCCCATCGTACTGTACGCCGGGGTGGCGGCCGTGGGGCTTTCGCCGTTGCGCCGTTGGACAAGTATGGGGTACCTAACACTGAACAGTCACCCCGAAAGTTGAACAAGCGAAAAATCTGCCCTTTTTATTCCAAAATCAAGATTGAGCACCAGAAATGGATATATCACCTGACTTTAGGTCCAACAAATGGCATAAACGCGCTGTGAAAAATAAATTCAAATCTGACCGCGATCTTTGCCGCCCAAATGTCGATTGGATACCATACTTTCAAGTTCATCTCAGCACGGAAGCAATGAAGTCGTTCGTAGCAGATAGAATTTGAGATACAACTTTTTTGATTTTTTAGTACTTACTTCGCGTTGACCAATAAAACTGATGTTCAAGTTTCGAGTGACATTGGGCGCGGGATCGACGACGCTAGCGGTCCCACGCGTTCGAGAATTCTACGTCCACTACTATCCACCATTAAGAAAAGCCACCCCAACATGGACGGTCAAGGCCATCTGCTTTCTAATGGAGAAAACCCGACTGAATCTGACAATTTTAAATTTAATTATGGCCTGCCATCTCAGTTCTGTTCAACTTTAGTGGACCCGTACTTGTACTACAGTTCTCAATGACCTTGAGATTAATAGACTTTGCGAGCTTGCCAGAAAACGGGAACGGAATTGGCTGGTCTTTTTCAACAGTCCAGAAGGAATTAGACTACGCCTAAATGCGCAGGGACATGGCCAGAAGCAGATGCTAAAAGAGCAGTGGTGTGCTCTTTGTGCCATGAATATAAAACATGGTAGCACTTACAGAGGACATCGTTCATCGTTTAAATGCATTCAATGGGAAACACATTTATGTGTTAGAACGTATCACTGAATGGGACGGTTCTGCTGGGATATGTGGCATTCTACGAAGGTGCTAGAGCAACGTGAAATGGGAAGAAAAGTTTTGTCTCGGGGCAATTTGGATGTATTACCTGAAGAATCAAATGGTATGGGCGAAATTTTGACACCTCAGAGTGGCAGGAGAGGTCAGAAGCGGATCCCAGATGATTCTGGAAGGCCGCGTACCAGGTCTGTAACAAGGAGGCTGGCCTTAGACATGCAAAGAAGTAGTTAGAATATCTTCATATGTACGGTACACCGTACATAAAAGAATTTGAGGGAATGAAATGATCCTAGAGTAGAAATTTTCTAGGGGTTGTAAGGGAGGGTTGTAGTTGTTCATATGGGCTGAAAACTGGTTTATGTACAGCGGCGGCCCTCCTCCGCGCATTTGTGTGGTCGAATTGTAGCAGCTGACTCAAATGGATGTACGGCGGACCCTTGAAGTTAATGTACGGTACACCGTACTTTTGGGAGATTTTGCGTTTAGGGGGGCGATCAGGTGCATTTTGGTGACAACAGACGGGTGAAATTGACTTTTTTGTTGTGAACAGGGTCCGAATCATGAATTGTTGTTGCAAGAGCGGGGCGAAATTATCTCTAAAGGGAGATTTCAATCTCTAAAATCTCCTCTCTCTCTCTCTATCTCTAAGGCCCCCCTAAACGCATCATTATCTCTAAAACTTAACATTAGGGATACAGGGGGGGTCGCGATATAGTGCCATCTTTGTTAGTGCCAGCTCCGATATAGTGCTACCCTTCTAGGGGTGGCACGAATTTTGAGCCAAAAACGAAGGGTCTCCAGAGAGGCAAGGCAGTTGGATGGACGTACTGCCCGAGAGCCGCTGCCGCCGCGGAAAGATATTATGCAGTTGCTTACTAGAATTGAGACTATGGCGAAAAAAGGCAGGGTCGATGATGCAATTGGACATCTGCAAAAGTGTAGGCTGGCATTTATGGCTGCGAAAAAGGAGGGAGTCAATGCGACGGCTCGGCAGCTACTAATAACAGAAATGCTTGATTAGACTTGAGTCTGTAGTGAAGATGCAAAGTATGAGTGATGGCGTCCTGCGAGCGGTCTTTCTGAGCAGTGATGCGCAAGGGAGTGGCTGCAAAAAAGCCGTAAATCTCATCTTACAGTGCCTGGTTCGATATAGTGCCGTTTTCGGCCCACTGACACAGGGTAGCACTATATCGCGACCCCCCCCCCTGTATGTACAGAGTAAAGTCTCGATAAGCTGCGTACCTGATATGATGAACTGTCTCGGTACAGTGAACCGAAGGACTGTGAGGGAGGCGCCACCCCGCTTTTTTGGCCCAGAATCGACGTTTTCGTATTTCTAACGTGAACTAGACTCTATAGAATGAACTACGCGATACCATGAACATACAAAAACATGAAAACCCCAGAGTTCACTTTATCGAGGCCGAAATGCGCACTAGAAACGAACCATCAACGACTACAGAAGCCATCCATACGATTTTGCCTCAGATTCGAACCCTGAAGCCTCCTTACGCGGCTTTGTTCCTCATACAGAAGTGACTTGATGCTCGAAGGCAGCCCCAATTGAACTAGATTCGCGTCCGTCATAATACAACTGAGTTCGTTAGATAGAGCTTCTAATGATCCGCGATACCGAGCAAGCGACGGTTTGCGTTCTGTCCGGTCTTTCGCTGGCACAGTAGAGCGATCGTCCTCACTATCTGAATCACCGTTGAATTGATCTTGCTCAATGCCAGTAAATGCCGCAAAATCCCCTAATCCAAGATCAATGGCTTGACCGAGAGCTGACTCTTCTGATAGACTCTGGATGTGGCAGAATTAAAAGAAAAGGAAGGCTGGATCACAATGTGAAGTGGTCCAGATATGGAATTGCGCCCGTCGACGTTGCCCGTCGATGGACAGAGTCAAGGAAAGTGAGTTTGTGTTCCTGTGACCGTATCATCGGCATTGGTGGAGACGCTCTAAGAGCGTCTCCACCGGTGTGGTCCAAATCATACTGTACCCGTAAAACGGGTACACGTGTACACGAGCAGTTCCGCCGCCGTGAACTGCCTCGGTAAGGCGAACTCAATGGGCTGCTCGGAAGCGCCACATTTCGGTTCACGATATCGAGACTTTACTCTGTACTTCGCGCACGACCGCGCTAGCTATGCTGAGGTAGGACAATAAACGAATCATGCAAGCTACCACGGTACTCCATTGTGCAAAGGCCATACAGTACGCCGGAGCCCGCTCTCTACCGAAAAGGCGCAACGCCGGATCACCCTACCATCCTTTTCTACCACACAATCCCCCCCCCCCCCCCCTTTCCGTGCGACTACTCAGCCCCGTGATTGTACACGGCGCAGCTCGCACGTAGCGCAAGGTTCCCTTTTGACAACAATGGTTGGTGTGCGCGCTCACGAAACAAAAGAACTCTACCAAGACAACTCGTCATCCATCGAGAACCACTTGCTCTTATAGAGGTTTATGCCAGCCATATTCTTGGCGCTTTGCGGGCGATTTGCGGGCTCATAGCCCACTCAGACCCATCCAGGGCCTGTCACGGTGTAAACAGGCAGTCCCAGCACATGCAGAATTATATTCATAGAATGGGTAGGACTATATAATAATACTGCACGAACGGAGGCACCGGCGGGGCATCCCAGTTGATCCAAAGAATATCTCTCGTGCTATGCTTTCTTCAGCATTTGTGCTCTTCCCTCTACCGTTGCGTGTTCGTACCTCACACAAATTCGTTAGCAAACCTTCTCTCGCTCAATCTTTCACTTCGCTGTGTGGCGTCAGAATGCTTAACGGAACGCCAAAGCGCAGCAACTCGACCATGTCAAATCTCTCTTCGTCCGCTCAGAACGAAGCCACACCGGAAATGTGGTTCGTGGAACATCTAACCCCACATGACGTCTACCATCACGGTATCCGCGAGCTCCTACATGCCTCTAGAAGCGCGTACCAATCTATAACCGTCGCAGAAATCGGCGCCTATGGTCGCGCCCTCTTTCTTGACGGCAAGATCCAAACCGCCGAGCGCGACGAGCACCTCTATCACCAACCGCTCGTCCACGTTCCCTGTATACAAGTCGCATCTCCTCGCAACGTCCTCATACTCGGTGGCGCCGACGGAGGTGCCGCTAGGGAAGCACTGCGCTGGAAATCCGTTGAACATGTCGTCGTCGTGGAAATTGACGAACAAGTTGTTGACGCATGTAACAAGTATCTCCCGAAAATTGGACGCGGTTCCTTCAACAGTGAGCGATGTCAACTTATTATTGGCGATGCTCTCGATTTTGTCGGCAACTGCAAATCTGAGTATGACGTTGTTATCTGCGACCTAACGGACCCTGTTGAAGACGGCCCGAGCTCGAACCTTTTCAGTATCGAGTTCTTTAAAAAGATAAAAGCCTGCATGTCCGAACGCAGCGCTCTTTCGATACAGGTTGGACCAGCATCTCTTGTGGAGAGCCCCACACTCATGCCGCGAATCTGCGCTACTCTTCGCGCCGCTTTCGGAGTTGTCCACCCGTATCAGATCTTCACTCCTACGTACGGCTCTCCTCTCGGAATGGCTGTAGTGCACCGGGTTCCTCAAGAGATTCGAGGAACTGCTGAAGCAGAGCAGCTGCTTTCCCAGGAAGTTGAGGGGGATCTCTCCGCGCTTGACGGCCCTGCATTCTCAGCACTCTTCGCGCTACCGCCATGCACTAGAAAGGCTATTGAAGAGGAGCAAGAAATTATTACTGAGCAAAACACAGCTGTAGCGTATGGACCAGCCGTCAGCAAAACAAAATAACTCAAGACTTCTTTCTGCTGGACCTTCTCAACATACGGCCTTCCTCCGGCTTGTCCTTCGACAACTTCCCCGGTTTTCCCGCGGCTCGCGCATTCGTGTTTTCGGGGTCTTTGCTTGCATTCTCAATCAAGTCTTTGTTTTGAGCTGATGAGGACACTTTCCCATGTCCCCCATCCGCTCCAGTTCGTCGGCGTTTACGAGTTGGCGAGGATCCGTTCCCTTCTTTCTGATGTTCCAGCTTTGCGTCCTTTTGTGACACTTGGTCACCGGAAAGGTTTCGTGAAGCAAAGACTGCTTTTTCGATATCGCGAGCAGTCCAGTTATGCCCAGTATCTTCTTTGCTGAGTTCCGTTGCCTTCTCTCGAACGCTTTCGACAAGCTCAAGATAGGCCTAAACGGAAACGCGAGGCATGGCAGCGTGTGAATCAGGGACTCCACAAACAAGTTAGAAAAATGAAAAAGGCAGTCCTCAATGAGGTCAAGATCATGAGCCACAGCTTACGGGAACAGTGTATTTCTTCTTTTCACCCTGGGCCTCGAGGAGTAATTCATCGCTCATAAAAGGGACGGTTTCGTCAAAAGCAGCAAGAAGGGCACTGGCAGTCGCTGGACCACACCCTTTGAGAGCAACAAGATGAGAAAGTGCTTGGCGGGTTTGTCCCTTTCTGAGCGCAGCAAAACTGGCTTCGCTCGCTTTGACGATCTCCTCGTTGGGGGTCTCGTCTGCAAACTTCTGCAGGCGAGGGCGCCATTTTCCTCGTTTCAGCTTCCAGCGTAAAACACTGGAATACTCGTCACCGTTGACGTGCGGAGAGTCGCGCAAAACAAACTTGTCAGACAGCTCCTGCCAGATGAACTGATCCAAGAGGACAAGGCCAGGCTTTGTTTGGCGCGCCTCACGTGCATTCAGAGCGTCGGGATAGCGGGAAAGGCTGTCTTTCCATGTAGCAAGAGGAGAGTTCCACATGGTACTGCGGTGAGATAAAGAGTTGCAACCCGACCGAGTGCGATGCTTTCGGAATGGCGTGAGGACAGTGCTGCGCGTTTATTGAATACTGCTTACATTGCGGTGGATCTTCATCTCCATATGCATACTGTACCCTTGCACCACTTTGAGGATGTCAACCGCTGCACTGTGCCTGTACGCATTATATCTTCTGTATCGGTGCGTCATTCCTGAGATCAAAAGACGGCACCATCCAATCACACGCGAACTTGATGCCCTTCTATAGGGCGTGCGGTACTAAACATTAATAAATAAGTACGAATAGTGCGCAAATTTGGCAAAACTTGTACTGGGGTAGGGCGTAAGGCGGTATAGAAGCTTTTACGTCCCATCTGGCTTCACGCAATCGTGTCCTCCTCACCAAAAGCCCTATTCCTCCCAAACAGAATGGACTTTTAGATAGGGGGCTGAGCTAAATTTCCCTGCTCATTTCACGCTTCAGCTCGCTTGGAAGTGCGCTCCGACCCATTCGTCAACACTCGGTGCACCTTCTTCATCACCTCATCGCACCACGCTCGATCCGTCAAAGGAGTACTCATGATGTAGACCACATTCCCAAGCGGCCGAGAAAACACGCCTTCCTGCTGCAATCTGTCGATAACCTTCTTCGCGCCTGTTGCGCCATACCCTTCCCCATCTCCTCTTATTTTCAGTCCTAGCACAGTCCCTAAAACCACAACTTCCTCCACCTCGTCCGCACAGCTGAGTTCCCTCGCTGTCGCCAAATCCCAATATTCACGGTCGCCTTTCAAACCCTCATACTGTCTCATCGCTTCAACGCCCGCTGCGCAACCGCTCGCATGTGCCGTGTACGAGTGCCCATGTAGCAAAGCCTCTGCTTTGCCCTCTCCATCAAATGCTTTAAACACTTCTTTTGATGCGAGAGTTGCCGCTAACGGAACCGTCCCTCCCGTCAATAGCTTCGCAAAAACGCCAACGTCTGGTTGCACTCCCAACAAACCTGCCCCGCTTTCACTTCCCAATCGCCACAATCCTGTGAATACTTCGTCAAAGATTACGGGCACACCACGAGCGCGGCATTCCGCCACCAAAGCACGCTGAAATGCCGGGTCGATCAGACGCATCCCTCCTGCCCCTTGCAGCACGGGCTCTATTAGTAGCGCCCCGAATTCTACACCAGAAGCTTCAGCTGTGTCCAGTCTTTCCTTGATTTTCGACGAGTACACCGGCACATCGCGATTTCTATCCATCAGCTCCCCACGCCCAGACAGGATGATATCGTAATTCGCTCCAGTCCATTCCGGCATATGCACCTGCCAGACCCCGTCTACGAGCGAGGCGGTAGGTGCTTCGAAAAACACCCCCCTTGATTCGAACCAAGGAGTTTGTTGTTCATTATACACGCTTTCAGTAGCGCAATCCATAACACCAAGCGTGTCTCCGTGATATCCACCGTCGATCGCTACAATCTTAACCGGCTTGCCTGTATGTTCTGGGAAGTCCCGTGCTCGCTTCCGGAACGCCATTTTGAGTGCAACCTCGACAGCAGTGGATCCATTATCGGAATAGAAGACCCTGTCGGCCCATCCCTGTCCTACACCTGATAACAAAGAGCTCGCCAATTCGAAGGCAGGGGCATTGGTTGCCTCTGGAAACATAACATGCCCGTAACGACCACATGCTCGCCCCATGGCCTTCGCCATTTCTGCATTGCCATGACCTACTCCGTTAGTCCACCAGCTTCCGATACCGTCAACCATTTCATGGAGGCCATTTGTTTGGTCGTAGCACGAGAGCATATCTCCCGATGCCGAATCAATGCAGGTTACACTTCCTAGGGAAGTGTGTTGTGTGAACGGATACCAAAAGATATCGGATGCTCTTTCTTGCATGTGCTTCAAGTTGCGAAATCGCTTCTCCTGGACATCATAGAGATGTTCAGACAAGTTGGTGAAAAAATCTGAAACAGCTGGTGTTTGACAATACTCTATCAACGGCACGTCAATAGGGGGGATGGCTGGCGCCTGGAACACGGAAATGCCATCTTTTTCGACGACCCTTTTCACACTGACCTCGTTCTCCAGCTGCACATTGTCCTGTAAAATATTGGCAAAGAACACAATCGTGGAGACATCATACCCACGTATGCGCAAGGCCTCATAAGCAGCTAGTGTCGTAGATATGCCACCGAGCGTTGGATCCCCTACAAGCAATGCGGGAAGGTTCAAAGAGCGATAGGCGTCTGCTTGAAGTGCTCCGGACGGCACGGGAGAGAGCGCGCCACCCGCAGTTTCTACCAAAGCGAGCGCCCGGGTGTGATTATTTAAAATGTTGATGGTCTCCAGAAACTGGCCCAATCCATGGGCTGTTTGCTCGCAGAGAGATGCATCGGTCGGCGGTTGGATATCATCTAGGGAGGCGGCCAGATCCGGACTCACAGGTTGATTATAGGAATGCAGAGTCACAGCTCTGGCGTCTGGCGCGACCTTCGAGACGAGAAGAGCATCAGCTGCAAGGGACGGTCCGGTCTGAACCGGTTTTAGATAGAGAGACGGTTGCTCAGCAGTACGTAGCAGAGCAGTTGACAAGACTGTCTTGCCCACCCCGGTGTTTGCACCCCAGACCTGAAGCACCAATGGGTTCGGGATGCCCGGCTTGGCGGTTGAAAACGAACGATTTGAGCGTGAGTACAGCAACCGGAACAGTGATAGCCGATGTTTTGGCCATCGCTGCATTGCTTCAACGGTGTTGCCAAAAAGAGTTAGGAATCACGGAAAATAACCACCCAAGTGTGTTGATTGTGACTTCGGCTAGTTGCTCTAAAAGCCTTGGCACCCTTCTTACCGATAGACGAGCTTTGTGAGGTGCGGCACCTCGATGATGTGCCATCACTTTGTGGGATCAGCACTACAGTTAGCGAAACTGCCCAGGACACACCCCTAACACGTGGCATTCGTCTGTACACGACGCCACGTATTGCTACAGAACACATGATAGTTTCTACGCTACACGTGGTATATTTTACTGACCGGTGCCAAGAGCCTACGCAGACTGTAAAGCCGGACACCGCCAGATAGTGGTCGGCGAGTGGTGCCACGGAAGGATGAGGACGTTTGGCGCGAGGAGGACAGGAGGAAAGGATGTAAGGGCACCTGTCGGCGGTCAGGCGCGCCACCAGAGCTCATGGCAAAGATCACACGCGGCTGCCGGAGGGCTGCGCTAGCGGTTTGGATGTGGATCCAGCCGGGCGGTCGACGCGCCGAGTGAGCAACAGCTATAACCGGACGATTATCCAGGTGGGTTACGGTCGGTCGGAGGGGACCAGGGGGCCGAAAAGGGGGGTTTTGTAAACGGTCGCAGTCTCGGCCGGTACCGGCTGGTGTCTGCTCTGTGGTTCAGGAGAGGGATCGCAGCCGAGGCCCGCGGATAACTCAGTACTATAAAATAGGCGCCGCGCGCAAATAGGGATGGCATCGAGGAAGCAAGAGACGAATTGGAGGTATACTTGAGGGCTACCATCAGATTTCGCTGTGCTCTCGGTTGGTGAGGTGTTCGACTTCGATTTGCCGCAACAGCACAGACTGTGATGTACTGGACCCTTGGGAACTGTGCTGCACAGTACCCAAGGGTCCAGTACATCAAATTTTCGATTTCTGTGTGTACAGCACACCAAACACGTTCACTGTTACCTCACAATAGATTGAAGCCTTCTCCTTCATTCAATTGTCCCTTAACACCGACCGTTGTAAGCGTCGACCGTCAATGTATCGCTCGAGAGGCAGCATATTCGGTCCCGTCACTTGACAAAGTCTGGGGACGTAGTGGAATATTGTACAGCCTCTCGCACAGCCCAGTAAATGCATGTCCAGCTAACACCCTTCCTGCAGTACACGAAAGAGATATTTGTTCCCCACGCACACATAGACCATGCCCGCGCGCTGGAATACCACGATTCTCGAGAGCCCATTCCCGGCGTTATCACGATTATTTCAGGTCGCTTGTTCCTCAAAACAGCAAAACGCGCTTTCCTGTTCCCCCCTCCTACTACTTTACATACGAAGCATACCCGGTTCACGCCATTTCTGGTCGCCACGGGAGAGAAGGTCGGCTGCAAAAGGTGAAAGTGATTTCCCTACAGCTTCACCCCTCGCTACGCGGGGAATTGCAGTCTACACCTGTCGAGACTGCCGTGTGAAACGTTACCGACGTTCAGAATGCGCACGCACATCGAAATTTCAATGTGGAATGTAGTCAAATTCGTTCTTGTCAGTTTCATATTGTCGCCTGTCCTGGAGCTGGCGGCCAACTACGCAAACGCAGCGTATTACGGCCTGAAAGTAAGACGGAAGCCAGGGCTGAGGTTGCGTTCTACGAGGCTCGGGCTTGCTGGTATGCACCATGAAATCGACCTCAACTCATCGTGGTGGAGGCTTAAGACGCTGTTTGTGGTGGTATTGGCAGGGCTGCTATATCTACCGCTAGAGTATGGATCTGGGGCTGAAGAAGTGATGAAAGAGGGGGTAATGTCTGTGAACCTTGATTTCAAGATGCCAGAAGGTGGGCCAGAACTGGTGAACATATTTCAGCCTGGGAACGACTTGGAAGCATGCTTGAATATAACGGGAGAGATAAAAAGGCTGGAGTATGCAGTGCTAGAGAACAAGACGCAACATAAAATCGAGCTAGAAGGCTCGGCAGTTAATGTGTACGGCGGATCACAATTCCTGACATTGAATGACAAGAACTTCATTTGTGTTCCTCGGGAAGCAGTACATGGAATTGATGAAGGGCTCGAAGTCACACTGTTCAAATGCGAGGGGGACGAATCCGAGGACATAGTACTTCTGTATCAAACAGGCGGCCTCCTAGGTGCAATACTGAGCAAGGATGTTGGATTGTGCGATATCGGGACATCTAGTTGCTACAATGCCTGGGAGACAGCCGGGGCTGACTTGGTAGCGAGTTTAACTCTGGCCAGCGTTCAACGTTACAGAAGAGGGAATTCAAGCAGCTTGCATCAACAAGTGATAATAGGCCTGGGTAACATGGTCAAGTTATCGCACATTGAATACACCGACCTAACTGTTTCGGGAGTAAACTCAATATCGTCCGACAGGCGGGAACGCAAAAGCGTCGTCCTAGAACTAACTAAGATGGAGCTAAGGATAGACGAAAAGATATTCGGGAACCATGTATGTGGTAGTCAGGGCTCATTGAGAGTGCCTCCAGTTAGGTCTAATGTGCTATATAACAAAAGTATTGACGGACTCATACAATTCGAGCATGAAATCTCTACTGATGATGTGAGTGGAGTAATTAGAACTCAAGAGGCTTTGATACCGTTCAGGTGTGGGAGGCGAGAAAAGCAGTTCTACGGGTACGCCGGGGAAGCCATCATTGGGACTGGAAGAGAACCCAATGAGATAATTGTGGCTTCTACGAATTTACTCTTGAGACGACAAGTGTTTGTTTATTCATGTCGAGAAGTTTGTACGATAGACGAGTTTGGAAGACTCGTTTTAGCCCTTGCTCAATCGGAATCAGCTTCTCGGTCAGGCAGACCACTGAGCCCTAAACAGATCACTGGAGAAGACGGAACAGGTCTAAATGATATCGTCGTCGTATCGAAGACATCCAGGGAGATCAGCACAAATGTCAAAACCACGCAGGAAGGAACTGTAGAAGTTTGGGCAATCTTGTACTATTTTTCGCTCTTTGCTGCAGCGTTAACTATTTGGATTGCGCTTTGGATTCACGAGAGAAAAGGTGGATTGTGCATCAGTGTGGAGAGAGTGTATAGGCAGTCGATAATGGAGAGAGCGACAGACTACAACTGTCCAACGGTGCCGAGGGGCCCGCCTACGGTTTCTGTCGTCAAAGGCGGAACAGATGATGAGTATCATGTAACGGCCAGCTACGACGAGTTGAATGAGTGAAGGTTGTTTGAACACAGTTTTGTAGTTTCTAAATTGTAGATAGTGATTCGGAAGGTGGTTGCATGCGTGGTGTGAAACAAACTCAATACAGAGGATATCAACACAACGAGGCGAAACAGCGAAACAGAGAGCTACAGAGTTGCCAGTCCGAATACTAGTACACCCTGCGTGCATATAGAAGAGGGACAACAGTTCAATAATGCTATTTCATGAAGACGGATTCACAGGCTGCTTTTGAGGCGATGGGGACTGAGTGTCACGCGATGCCTATACAGAAAGTTGTCCTCGAAATGGATAGCGACGCAATGAAAGGCACTGGCATCATTTTGAGATTAGAGCGAGAAAGGGTTCCACTCTTGAAAAAGCTCAGGTAAGAAAAAGAGTTGTGGGGGGGTGGAAGAGTCTCACTACCAACCAGAAAACGCGTACGTGACGGCTCCAAGGGAGCGGGGTATATTGCAAAAACTGTCTATTGGCCTGCAGCCAAAGGAGTGACATGCATAATATGCATATCATATTATGATACGACTGTTAATGAAGAAGTGGGGCCTTTAGCCATCCCTAAGGACGGAACAAAACTGCCTTTAATAGCCACCAAGGAATGCGCGTCATCGCTGGACGAAGCAACTCGGTTGCAAAGAAATTGTCAGGACTGTTCAGAACGGGTTTGGGGGCTACCAGCTCCAATACTAATACAGTGTACTATGCCTAGCGCAAGTAGAAGAGCGGCAACAGCTCGATTATACTAATTCAAGAACACAGCACGACAAGCTGATTTTATTAAGAGGATACCTGATGTTACTTCTTACCAGCTGCGGCTGCTCTGAAGGGGGAAGTCGTACGGAGCGGAAGCAGAAGTTTTGTGAAGGGGGTGGGCGCGAAAAAGGCAAGTCACTGGACACACGATCGTTCCCCTCTGTCCACGAGGCTGTCGCTTTAAATCGGCAAAGTCGTTTTTGCCTGGCTTACGGGTTCGTGGAGTGGGTGGCACCCGAATTAAACAGTCGAGTGAGTAGCGATGGCCACGCGAATTCCTTAAACCCAATCTCTTCGAGATTAGCTGGGTTAAGGAGCCTGCGAGAAGATGAAGTGTCTCCATCTTCGTCGCACCCGGAGAGGGACAGACTCTTTGTTCCGCTCTGGTATGCATCAGGCCACTCCAGGCCTGAGGCGACCGGTGTACACGAAGTGTGGACCTACATGTACAGGACGGTGGAGCTGTACATGAATACATGAGTTGGGATCAGAGCGTAGCCGGCGAATACGTTCATATTGAGACATACAGTAGCAAAAATGGGGATATTGTCCTCAAAGTAGTCGTAATAGAATCTTTGAAATCAAGAAGATGATGTTATAAAATGTACAGCGAACAGGTCAATTAGAACAGTTCGTGTGCTCAAGAGGAAGGAAGCAAATAAAAAAAATTGGAGTTTGGGAGCTTGACTTTGGGATAGATTGTTAAATAGTAGAAAGGCGCAAAAACAGGTGTTTCGAAAAAGAAAGGTTGAGACAGGACGCGTGCAGATGGACAGAGAGTGAAGGCGTGGGCTTATAATTACGATGTAGGAATAGAGTGGCGGGCAGGGCAATAAGGAAAGGCAGAAAAAAGTGTGTACAGGGTATTGAGAAATCGTTTCGTTTTGATCCGTAACCGTTCAAAACTGAAAGATGCTTCGACGGAAAGCCCACACGTTGAGGTTGTTGATGTGGGATGAATGAGGTAGAGCTATTCCAATCACATAGAAATGGGACAGAAGTGGATACATACATTCAACGACAGCGACATGCTATGAAATGAG